GTCTGACTACGCTCAAGAGTATCTGAAAGCGAAAATGCTTAGCAAGCGAAGGTGTAGCACTGAACTCATGCACCGTTTAAAGTGAAGTTACTTCGCCGGATGTGGCAGTGACTCAAACAACGATAAAAGACCTAGCTGAGGAAGCGGTCTCAAGATCTCGAAGATCTTGGAAAAATCTATGCTACAAAGGAGAAGGAGGCCCGAGCGAAAGCTGCAAGCAACCAATGCCTGCAACTATGTGTAACAGACAGACGTGCATATTTACTTTCTAACTAGGCGCTGCAAACACTTACATATTACTGACGTCAAGAGTACTGGTCTGTGATTCTGGGCTTTTGCCGTGATCCAGACTTGTGTATTGTCGCTAATGTGGCTATGCGCCAGTCGTTCGGGACAGATCTCAGCCTAACCTACTGTAGGTTTTCCAGGTAGGTTTTTGTAGGTTTTTGTCAACATAGTTCCCCTCCCGGACCAGTCGCCTTTTAATCTTTCTAGGTCTATCCCATGATTGTTCGGCATTTGGGCATATCCGTCCTCCATGGTCCTCCATAGGTTGACAGCGTGTCCCCGTTTCTACTATTGGCAATGCCTGGTTTTCTCTTACAGAGGCCCCTTTCCGGTCGCTCAAGTCGTCGAACTCATTATCGTACATCCGTCGTAGGGTTTGCTCGATTATATCGTCGCCAGAGGTGGTGGTGGTGAAATTAATTGGCAATGGTTTGCGGTTGGCCGAACGAGGCTGTCCAAATAATGTCCACCCGAAAACGGTGCGAGCGGCGTAGGGTTCTTTCCTGCCGCCCAGTCTCTGTTCCCGTACCTAATGTGCCTCTGGCACGTAACATTCTATTTGCAAATCGACTTCAGGAGAGTCGGCTCCTTCGAAATGTAAATTTTTCAGGTGTAACCAGTGCGTTGCTAGTTCCCCAATTGATTCCACCACTCTCATCAACAAGTCGACTATGGTAAAAGCCTCCGTCACCTCTACGCGTTTACAAATATCTAGCAACACCAACTGCACGTCCGTTTGATCGATGGAAGTATCTTGGTACCGTTCACTGTGCTGATCGTCAGGGAAGATGATCGGGTTGCGCTATTGTTCTTTACGTCGAAACCCATAGTGCTTAGAGTGGTATCGGAACCATTGTCAATAAATTCCATTGCCTTCACTACCCCCCTAGAGTTAGTATGAGAACTGGTGTTACCCCAAGGTGCTCCTGCTGGCCCGTTGATTGCAATAGAAGACACGCTGGGATTTTGGGGTGACGGTAACTGCGTTTCTTGTATAGAATGCAAGGGATGGAATTTCTTGACACCCCTTTTCATCGCAACTGCCACGGTTCCTACAAGTAGCCGCGCGATGTAAGCCACTCAAACAGCTAAAGCACACCTCATGCCAATTAGCTGCTTCCCAACGGTCCGAAACATCCAGTTGCACAAATTTCTCCCATACGGATAGCTCGTGATTGATAGGGCACCTGGGTGCGCCACATTCCCCTACTGTTGCATAGTTGTTTGCGTTTCTAAAGCTTCTCGGGATATCGTAGTTTCGGTCCTTTGCGTGGTTTTTCTCTTCTCGCCTACTAATTCTGGCGAGTTGTCCGAAGCGACTACTCGCGACTTTGCATCTTCATTACCAGTCACACCAACGAATCTGTGATGATCCAGACTTACGTGACTGCAACCGAGGCACGACCGGGTACAGCTTCATGTCATCTAATCACCGTTCAGAAAAGTCGGCCAATGGTACCCGTAAGCCTATCTTGCACGTGAATGATTCGGCTACCGGATTTGGGACCAACGGGTGGTGCCGTTCCTACTCTTCCATGCTTAAGTGATCCCGACCATTGGCACCTGTGTGCTTGAGCACCCCACTTGTGGTGGTCTGCGGGTGTGGCTGAGAGTGGGTGATTAGATTTACCACGTGACCGGTTTTGGGACCGATGGGACCGTTAAACAGGTTTTTGCATTGGCCTGTTTAACCCTTCTAGCGTTGTCGGCTACTTTGACCGAAACGCTAAGTGGTAACCAACGGTAAGCGCGCAGCATACAAACGCGGCTTGATTCAAAATGTTCAAGGTCATTTGACCGATCCCCATTCTCCAAGCCATGAAAAAATCCCAACTGGAGACCACTGTCGCTCAAACATTAATCCGTTTATTACAGACCCTAAACATAACGCGGGTTTTAATAAGACAGCCAAAGACCAAAAATATTAAAGGGAAATTTATTTAACTTAAAAAAATAAAATAATTATTCGTTAGTATAAATAAACAAGTTCTCGGGAGGGAAATGTACCCATACCAAATCTTTAGGAATTGCAACTGCCATATAACTGTCAAAAGCTATTTTAAATACTATTCTGAAACCTTCGCCCTAAGATCATCAACGAATACGAAATAAAACTTTTTGTCAGCTTTTGAAGTGTCCCATAGTGAAATTTTAATCGAACCGTTTGTTGAAGCTGCTGGTGGATTATTAGCTCTCATCTTGACGCTATTGGACGAAAGACAGGTACGCTTAATCTCCGTAGTCTGTGTTGTCAAGCTGTGGCTACCAAATAATATCTGGATTTTTGGATACTTCCTTTTCATAGCTGCTACACGTGGAAGTTGATTGCGTTGAAAATTGTAATTCACTGTACCTAAACTATTCAAAGAGACGCCCAACTCTTAAAGGATATCGTCCATCTGAGCCAACTTTGATGACTTACCCATGAGGTATCTTGAGGCCGTTATTACTGTAACGACCAAACGCGATTGTCCTGGTCCGAGCGAAACGAAAAAGATCTCGTCTGTATTCGTTCAATCAAGTAAAATAATCTTAACCCGTTGTCGGAGAATACACTCGATGGATTACCTCGTCTACCCACGAATCTCTGCCAGGCCATAAGAAAGGAGTCGGTCGATCAGTGCGCACTGACGATGCCACCTCGGCTGAGGATGAAACGTTTGCGATCTAAACGCCAAGCTCAGCGAACACAAGACCCCACAGAATACTGCTATACCTCCTTCCTCCTGGCCGAGAAGAGCAATTGTGGGCCACCGCCCCGTATCCCATCTCCGACACATCTTCAAAAACATGTAACACACTTTGCTCTCTTTTGTGCATTCCTGGTATGGGACAAGGGAGTCGTATATCGCCCAGCTTGGATAGGCTCAGCCACTAGCTTTGCCAGGTATTGTGATCCGCTTCGCATAGGGTCTCATCCCAAGTAACTTTTTTTCTACACAGGTCCTGCAGCAGAATCTTACCCGGCAGTAGCCACGGTGTGACAAACCACATTGGATCGTAAAGGCTGGCCAACGAAGACAGAATTCCTCTGCGTGTTGCTGTCGTCTCAAGTAACTAGAGTTGGAACAAGAATTCGTCTTTCTCTGAGTCCCATTGCACACCAAGTGTTCTGTCTGTTGGTAACGGACTCACCTGCAAGTCATGGAGACTCGGCGCCCGCTCATCAACTGGGATGCAATGGATTGCATGACGACTGTTGGACATCCACTTGATCAACTTGGATCCTCCCATGAGCAGTAACTTGGATTCAGATATTAGGGATATTGATATATGTAGGTTGCGGGTTTCTGAATTAGAGCTGAGATAGCTAGACAGCAGATAAAACAGGCCAAACGTGAAAAAAACGATTTCAACGGCACTACAACACCTCGAGCTGAGACTGCACATAGTTACTTTTCTCCGAATAAAGAATCCGTCTCGAGGCAGAGAACGTTCACCCATGGGAAGGTTGATTTACCAGGAGTCGAACTAACACCATTCGACAGTAACCCCGAAAAGTGTTGCCAATTTTTTCGCCAATACGAAAACCTCGTTGAATGCAAAACCACCGATGCAGGGCAAAGGTTTCCGTTCTTGCTGAACGACTGTCGTGCAAAAGCCAAAGGAGCCATACAAGGGTGTGCAATGCTGGACCCGGAAGTAGGCTACCCGAGAGCGAGAAATATACTGAATGAGATGTTTGGTCAGTCATTCCGAGTATCACGAGACATGATTGACGGGGGACTGGCAGAGGCGAAACGCACACGAGGCGATACTAGGTCTCTAATAAACGTGGTCATCAAGATGCAGAACTGTATCATTGCCCTCAACCACCTCGAATATCGCTCGGATGTGGATTCACTTCACACGCTGGAATTGATAGTCCGATGTTCGAATTGTAGATAGCCTGGGCGACCGAGGCCGATCGAATCGAGAAAAGGAACTGAGAGGCAACCTTTGACGAATTCACTGAATTCATAGGCTGCTAATCTCGCATCGTAAACAGTAGATCTGATCAACTAGTGAGGGAAAGTATCAGGATTGCTAGACCTTCAACCAGCTTTGTGCCATCTGGATCTCCGGATCTCCATCCCCCACACAACTGGGCGAGCGTCAACTTAATCTCATATGAGTCACATAAACCGACCAAGTGCAAACTGTGCTCAGGTGTCCACAGGTTTGAACACACTCAGAGGTTTTGGCAATGAAGGTGATGGACCGCTGGACAATAGCTAAAAGGACAGGGTCCTGCTTTGTGTGCATGAGCGTTTCCCACAGAGCAGCCCTTTGCAGAAACCAAGCCAACTGTGGTCAAGACAAGGGTTTGGCATCACCCCTTGTTACACTACGATGGAACAGCCGAGCCCCGAACAAATAATGGCCGGGTCGACATAACCAACGAACTCTCTGCGGGGAATACACCGAAATCCGTCTGCACTATCGGACGGGTGTCAAGTGGGCCGGTTTGCTTGGGAATAATAACAATCCAAGTGAAGACTCCGCGTGGTTTGTTCCAAGCCGGGGCGTTTCTAGACAATGGATCGGATACCTTCCTTATGAGAGAGCATTGCGCGAGAACACGACTTGGGAGGACAAACCACCTCATTGGTAACCAGCGCGGTAAATGGGGCACGAGCAGGTCGAGATTCTCAACTGAGTGTGAAGTTACCTCCCATATCGGCGAAGATACGATAAAGGTGCACCAAGCATTTACTGTCGCCGAACTACCAATGAGACTTTCCAAAAGTATCAAGTCCTTAGCGCGGCGCTGGCCTCACCTCCACAATCTGCTGTTTGAGGATGTCCCGGATACCCGATTGGACATATTGATCGGCAGTGATGTACCCGGGGCGCATTGGGTTTTGGACCAAAGGGTAGGAGGACGTAGAGATCCGTACACTGTGCGCACGATTTTCGATTGGATACTCTGCGGGCCGCTTGGTCATGATGGTAATTACTCAGCCTTGATCAACTTCATCTCGCGGCCAGATAATCCCATAGGAGACTACCTGGAGCGTCTTTACAACCACGAGTTTGGCGACATAGCAGACGACCGGGTATTTATGTCGAGGGAAGACCGGGCATACCTGGCTGTCGTCACCGAAACGGCACGACACAACGGAGCCCAGTTTGAAGTTCCGTCACCCTGGCGAACGGAATCCAATCGACTGCCCGATAATTGAGAGATAGCCCTCCATAGGCTCAACTATCTGAAGGAACGATTGAAAAAGAACGCATATGTAAGGATGCCTACTGTAATGCCACCAAACGCAATCTAGAGTTGGGATATATTAAACGCGCAACGGGAGAAGCAAAAAGAACAACCATTTTTGTAC